TGCGTTAACCAACCCCCCCCCTCCCTCTCCCTCCCCTTCCCCGGCAGAAAAAGAAAAGGAAAGTACGTTCGTTCTATTCAAAATACCCCTACGAAAAAGAACCGTTAGGTTCTGTTCTTTAAAACAAAACAAAGGGGCATTGATGGTGGCTGCCAGAATGGCTGTCAGAATGGCTGTCAGGGAGTGGTGGTTCAGGCGACCGCTTTCCAGATTAAAGAAAGACAGAAAAACAGAGAAAGGAAGGAGGTATTTGAGGTAGATAAATTGGTTTTCCTGTTGGGTCCTCCGTCTGGAAGTAAGGGTTAGTGGGGTATGACTCCGTATGAGGACCGTAAGACGCGTATGAGGTCCCGATGGGGCAGGGCAACCTGGCTGTCCCTGGTTTTGGGGATTGTTGTTGATATATAACTTGCCTCGAGCACTGGGCCCTGTTAATAAAAGTGCAATTTAGGGGGGGAGGGCGTAGGTTGCTTGCTTGGAGGTTTTCCAGCTCAGTTAGGACTAACAGGCCATATTAGGCCAGGTAGATTTTGCAATTTTGATAGGTTTTGTTGAGGTCTGATTAAAGCAGGCTGTACGATGCCCGGCAGGTATCAGATAGGTGTGCTGCTTCTATCATTTCTTTGAGCTTCAAGGTTTTTTATTTTTATTTTTATTTTTTTTAACAACTAATCTATATTCTTCTCTATGTCTCTCTCTCTATATTTTTCCTCATCTATCTCATCCTCCTGCTGCTCTATGTATGATATAGTAAATATACATATTCAACGTATTTTGGGAAGCTGCGTTTTGTGAACGGATGGGATGCTGCACCCGGTTTCCAGCTCCAGCCGAAGCTGGGTGGAGGCCCCAGTATTAGTATGCGGAATTGGGAGAACCCTGGCCTTGGTTTTCCATTCCTGTCCTAATTCAAACCTCTGCCTTTTCAAAAAAAAAAAAAAAAGGAAACAAAAGAAAAAAGAAAAGGGGAAGAAAGGAAAGAAAAGGAAAAGAAGGAAAAAAAGAAAAGAAAAGGAAAGTAACTTTAATAAAGGGGAAAAAAGGGAAAAAAAAGGAAAAAAAGGAAAGGAAAAAATGGAAAAAAAGGAAAAAAAGGAAAAAAAAGAAAAGGAAAGAGAGGGAAAAAAAAGAAGAAAAAAGAAGAAAGGAAAAAAAAAGGAAAAAAAGGGGAAAAAAAAACAAAAACAGAGAAAAGGGGGAAAAACAGAAAAAGGAAAGGCAAAAAAATTTTAAGAAAGAGAGAAAAGAAAAGGAAAAAAAGAAAAGAAAAAAGAAAACGAGAAAAGATAAGAAAAACGAAGACAGAGGAGGAAAAAGAAGAAAGGGAAAAAAGGAAAAAAAAGGAAAAAACTTAAAAAAAGGGTAAGGTAAACAACTAAAATGAATGAGTCCGTACATCCGACAAAGTAGACAGATGGCCCGTCAAAGACAGATGACCCGTCAACACCGTAGACATATGAGACAAACATACGTAAAATGTTTCATGAAACACATGTTACAGGTATGGCGTCCCCCAAAAAAAAAGGGAAAAAAAAAACAAAAAAAAAGGGGGTGTAATGACCCGCCAAAAACACAGACTGAGAACACTGCTGATTTCTGGGATTTGCCGCTGGAATGAATGCCTTGGTGAGATTCCCGCATTCTGCTGTGGTTTCCATGTGTGTGTGTGTGTGCGTGTCTGCTGGTTTGCATGCCTGTCGGCTTGTTGGTTGAAAGGCCCCGCAGGGCCGCTACTTACCTGTGGCCGTGACTTTGACGGTTGCAGCGGGGAAAACACTCAAGTAGCGGGGGTAGGCCCGCGACACTTAGAGCAGCGGGGAAAAACACTCAAGTAGCAGGTAGGCCGGTACCACTCAAGTAGTGGTAGAAGTGTCGGGTACTGGAGGCCAAGCAGAAGAAGGCAAAAGTTGGCATTTTTAGAGGCCCAGTAGCGGTAGGTTAGAGGTAGGGCGGTACCAGTCCAAGTAGCCCGGGTCTAGGGCCTGTCCGGACGATAGCAGAGCCTGCAATGATGTTTCCCTCCGAAAGGGAAGAGGTACCGGTTGCTGGGAGGCCGCTCGGCCTAGGAAGTCACCGCCCAAGAGACCAGTAGGCCGCTATATCTTCCGGAGGAGCAAGTAGCTCCTCCTCATTTGCAGTATGCAAGGATTGGTGACATGCTGTTGAGCGAAGCGCTGGACTGGTACAGCGCTGCCTGGAGGTGAAGGGCAGCTGGGCGCTCAGCCAGGCTATGGCGAGCAGCCCTGCCTGAGGAGAGGAAGAAGGGGGCGAAGGAGGAGAGTGGCGAGGCACCTACCTGGCTATGGTGGACACCATCTTCATGACCTTGTTGGGCGCTGCATCTGGAAGGCCCCAGTTGGGGTAGTGCCGCACCAAGGAAGCTCGAGGCAGAGTCAGGCATGGCGGCTTAGTCAGCAGCGGCATAGCTGCTTTGGGTTGTCCTTTGGACAGGAGTGCAGCGCCATAGCTGCTTTGGGTTGTCCTTTGGACAGGAGGGCAGGGCCCTCAGTAGTCCGCCATAGCCTAGGCATGTGAGAGGAGGAAAAGGGAGGGAAGCCATAGCTATGGTGGACTTGTTGTTGTTGTTGTCGAGTCAGCAGTAAGAGGGAACTTTGGATATTGATTCTGGTTCATCCACTCATTGTTATTATTATTAATGGGAAGAAGAATAAGATTGGAGAGGTTAAGGAGGAGGAGGAAGGTGGAGAGAGAAGGGGGGATTTGTCATTGGTCTTGCTGGTGTACATCTTCTTCTTCTTTCTTCTTCTTCTTCTTCTTCTTCTTTCCCTCTTCTCTGGTCTCTATCTCTTTGCAAGTGCTTTCATTTCTTTCGCAATTGGGTGGCATTGTCTTTCATTGTGAATTTGCACTTTGGGAATGACCAGGATCG